TTCTATGCAGATTTGTTATTTAAGAGAATTTTCTGTAGGTGCAGAAGGGGATGGAGTGTTCTTTCTTTTAGTGTACACCTATAATTTATTTAAATCAGAGCTTCCCTGCAGGGAAGTAAAAATAAAATCTTTGTTTCTCCTCTGTGACAAGAACAGAGTTTGCAAAGACAGTCTCGTTTCTTGTCTCCTTAGAGACAGAGTTGGCAGAGTGGGACCTTCTGTGCCCCTCTGAACATCACTGAAATTACCACACAGTAAGACTTTGATCAGTAGAGCCATAACCAGGGTTTAGAAGCATTTTCTCTGGACCTAAATATTAACAAAGGCTATTCCAGTTTCTGACATTCCTCTCCCTTAGGAGGGATGGTGAGGAGTAGGCAGAAAGATTAGGGACCATTTAGAATTGTAGAATCATTAGGGTTGGAAAAGACCTCCAAGATCATTGGGTCCAACCATTAACCCAGCACCACCATGTTCACCACAAACCATGTCCACAGGTGCCACATCCACATGTTTTAAACACTTCCATGGGTGGTGACTCCACCACTGCTCTGGGCAGTCTGTTCCAACGCTTGACAACCCTTTCAGTAAAGAAATTTCTCCCTGCTTTAAGAACTGTCCCCAGATCCTGCTCACTCAGGCTCAATTACCAAGCTAAATTCCCATAAAGCCTGACAAGACTTCGCTAATTTTCTCTCCCGCTTTTCACTTTCCCGGTGTCCCTGCACAAAGACACGGAGCAAAATCTTTGTGCAATGAGTGGCAAAATTCCCACTGACTCCAGTGGGGCCAGGATTTCATGTTAGACCTAATATTGCCTCTAATTTCCCCTCTCATTAAACTAGTGGGCTGAACTGTTCTCAGTGGTGTATTGAGAAAGAATAGTTCTTTCCACTGCAGGAAATAGCAAGTTCAGTCCTACGTCCCGCACTATTTATAGGAGACCCACATCCTCTGTCCTGCCCGTGGAGCTCCTTTAATGCTGGTGAACTCCTGTGACTTCTTACCAATGGGAATCTCTTTCCACTTTGTCCTCAAGCTGCTGGAAAGGATTAGCCCATAACTAAATTTCTTCAGTAAAAGGCTTTCTTTATTGTGTAAGAGAAATCTACCTTTTTGAGAACGGATCACTTTGCTGCTCCCCTACCATGAACCTACAGATACTAAATCAGAATAATTATGCAGTGAGGTACACACTTATATTTTTTACCAACACAAAGCGAATTACAGGTTTAATTTTCTTTTGTGGCACCCAGCTGGGCTGGTTGATGTTATCTGGGAACCCTGCCCAGAGGTAGGGTGTAAGACATTTTGTGTCTGTCAAATAAAAAATACCTAAAAACAAACTCATCCCCTTCTGTTTTCTGTATCTGAGCTCCTGAAGAGAATGTGTTCAGAGTAAGCATCCAGAAATCTGACAAAGAACACAAGAAGCCTGAGCACTAACCTCTGAAAACAGGGGAATTCTGCAGGTTTCTTTCTATGTTTCTTTCCCCTCCAGCAGATAAAATATTTATTGCTCAGCAATTGCAGAGAGGGTAAGTGTTTTGCATCCCTAACTTCTCTTTCCCTTGGCATGAATTAAGAGGGCAGCAGAATTAAAGGCAATTTTCATGAGCCAGGAGGCCATAATTTATAGATCTGCCGTGAGAGATGCAGACCTGCCATCTGCACTGCGCTTTGCTGGGTGTGAAACTTAGCTCAGGAAACCTGATTTCACACTGCTTAAAGGCAAGCAACTTCCTTCTGCTGCCTCGTGGCACCAAGTCAGCCTGGTTCTTCATCTGCTGCTCTGAGAGCACACCTTGAGACTGCAGGTACAGCAACACCTCTGTCAGTGTCAGTCTATGGGACCGTGAATGAATTTTCCATGTACATTTAACAGAATCCATTCTGTTTAACCTGCATGTGGTGAGAGAGGTAGAGAATCATAGAATATCCTGAATTGGAAGGGACCAACAAGGATCACTGAGTGCAACTCCTGGCCCTGCACAGGACAACCCCAGAATCACACTTTGTCCCAGCGCTTCTTGAACTCCAGAGACTGAGGGATGTTGCCCTGGTCTCACCTGGGTGGCAAATGGCCATAAAAATGCAGCCAGCCTTGCTGGTTTCTCAGAAAAAGAGGAGGCAGCAAGCAAATGTTGCATTTCAGTAGGTTTAATTCTATAGTAGGTGTTGGTGGACGAAAGACAGGTCATGCTTGCAGGGTAAGGGAGCCCAGATCTGTCCATGTCATCAGTTTAAACTTTGCTCTCCTGAGATGTCATCCAAGTAGGCAACACCTGGGCAGAGAGGTCAGGAACCTCCCAGCAAATGTTCTGTAGACTGTGTTGGCCTCATTGCAATTTATTTGTGTGACGGTGTGTTTCTGAGGTCCCATATACCAGCACTCAGCTCTGCTGGATGTCCGCCCTCAAAATCTTAAAATAGTAGAATCACTAGGATTGGAAAAGACCTCTAAGACCATCAAGTCCAACCATTAACCCAGCACTGCCAAGTCCACTGCTAAACCGTGTCCCCATGTGCCACATCTACACGGTTTTTGAACACTTCCAGGGATGACAATTCCACCATTTCCCTGGGCAGCCTGTTCCAATGTCTGACCACCCTTTCAGTGAGGAAAATTTTCCTAATATCCAGCCTAAACCTCTCATGACACAACTGGAGGCCATTTCCTCTCATCCTGTAACTTGTTACCTGGAAGAAGAGAATGACTTCCACCTGGCTGTGCTTTGTAGACACATCTAATTTCCAAGGGAAAAAACTGTTCTGATTTCCTCCTAAAGGAGTATTAATACCCCATTCAGCTTTTTTAGTGCTGTGGCCTTTGCTTTTGTCTAATGTTTGAAGGGCCACTGGAAGCCAATTCACCCTGGAATGGAGCATGATCCCAAGGGAGCTGCCAGCAGAAACACAACTGTACCAAGAAAGGAGCCTGTCAGGATTCTGCTCTGTGGGGTCTCTGGGGCATTTCTGTCCTGGGAGAGTTCTACTCTTTTCTGATACTGCTGGGAAAAAAAAAGTATGGAAAAACCAACAACCTCCATCCTAGGAGCTGTGTTGAGCTATACCATAACAAAAGTCCTTCCTCTTGGGTAAGGACTCATTTTCCAGCAGGTGAATTGGTAGCTCTGAAAAGCCCAGGTCGTTCCTGGCTCAGCCATTTCCCTGCTTGGGCAGGTTTCCATCCCACAAGAAGGCAGTGGATCTTTCCCATTCCTCCACACGGTCTGTGTGCAAGGAGAGGCTGTGCTGGGGTCAGGCATGGGGGTGACTTCTTCACCATTTCTCTTACAGCACTCACAGAGCAGAAACCCATGGTGTGCCATGCTATATTATCCAAATTATCCCACGAGTTTTTCCCTCAAAGGAATTACAAACCTCACCCTGCCCTCTCTCTTTCTCTTTAGGACTGGAGGGAGATGACACTCCATAACCAATCTGCTCCTTTAAAAAGAAGTTTTCCATGAGCTCTGTGGGGTCTCTGGCATGTTTTCTGTAGTCTGTGTTTATTTTTCCTTTGTGCCTGCAGCTTCTATTGGAGATAATTGCTCTTTTTTGTCATCGTGCAAGGTGAGCTGGCTCCCCAGTGTGCTTGAGGATCTTCAAAAATCTTCCCAGCTATTCCAGAAGCAAGACAGAATGCATTTTAAAATACTTGCCTGCCACCCCCAGCAAAATTTGAGCACAGAAAATATAAAATGGCAGATTATTCAATCCCTAGATAGGCCAATTAAAGGGGAAAAACACAATTCAACAGCAAAGGCTGTGCTTATGTTGTTATAGCTGGGGAAGGGTTGCTTAAAAAAGGACTTCAGCATCATCTAATATTTGGAAGTTGATGGTTGCACTGGAACTGGTTTAGAACAATGCCCTTTTGTTGAAAGGAAACTTTGGTCCCCCTGGAATTGCAGCAGGAGGGAGCGACGGGGGAATCGTCCTGCCTTGCTCCCAGCCAAGTTTCATCCCTCAGCTGGAGATCCTGGTGCCAGTCAGTGACAGCTCTGGGAACAGCTGGGGAAGAAAGATCCCTTGGCCATGTGGATAAATGTACCCCAGGACTTGGCTGAGTTAATTGGATTCTGAAATAATGCCAAAATGTTAGTCAGTTTGAAAAGGTTGTGACACAGATGATTGAAGAAGTGCATGGAAACAGGAGCTGAGTCTTCTGATTTGCCTTTAGAGGGCTTAATACTGTAGACTTTCTTCACTGAAAGAGTGGTTAAGCATTGGAACAAGCTCCCCAGGGAAATGGTGGAGTCACAGTCCCTGGAAGTGTTGAATAAATGGGTGGACGTGGCACTTTGCCATCTGATTTAATGGACACAGTGGTTTTGGTTCAAAGGTAGGACTTGATGGTCTTGGAGGTCTTTTCCAACCTTAATGTTTCTATGATTCTGTGAGTGTTCAGCCATTACCCTGTAAGCTGCCTTCCAAAATCTGAGCAATTGAAATGGGCAACTATTTCCTATCTGAGAAGTAAAAGCGCAAAGGTCAGCTCTGATAGAAATTCTGCATATCCCAGGAAAGAGAACAACCACTCCAAGGGCTGGGGCTGCTTTGGATCCAGGGACACAGCTGGACCTCATTCACTCCCAGTCCTTCATCACTGGACAAACACCACATCAGCAGTTGCAGAGGGGACTGTTGTTGTGCTCAATAAATAATCCATCACCACATTCCAGGCAGAGCACCTAATAAATGGGAAAACATTCTGCAGTCATAAAACCCAGTGATATCTAAAACACGAAGCAACTGAAGCTGGAGCAGCTTTACTTCAGCTCTATAAAACGAGGAGTCACACAGAGATTTGGAAAAACCTTTTTTTCCCAATCTGGCAAGCGTTGTCTCGAGCAATAAATCCCAAAACCAGGATGCCTGGGGGTACTGCCTTGGGAGCAGTCAGTTTAATTGTGATAACCCAGAAAAAAGCAAGTCTCTGAGTCTTCTAATTCAGAGAGGCTCCTGCTTTACACACTGCCTTGTCATGTCTCAGAAAGTCAGGGGTCAGGGCAATCAGATTTACATTTGCCTTACCAGTCACCAGAGGTGTTGGTGCTACCAGCTGCTGATCCTTCCAGCTTCCATTGCATCACTCCTCTCTGGCTCTCATCTGCTCCATATAAAAGTCTTTACTGGACCTCAGAGACACTCTGGCTTTTCCTTTTTAGGCAAAAACAAACAAACAAACAAACAAAATTTTCAGCTTTGCCTGGGTGGTTTCTTTGTGGTTTTGAAGAGGAAGGAGAGTTATTGAGTTTTTTTCCCAGTCCCTGCCTTGAAAAGTGTTTCATTCGCTTTTCCCAAAGTGCCTGTGATTTGAGGCAAGATCAAAAACATGATAAAAGAGTTCTAATCTCTCAGCCATTATATCTCATAGATATGTGAGAGAAGGTGTACAGAGGGACATGTCTTTGTTTGTCATCCAGTAGGGCCAAAATTGCAATTCCTGATGTAGAATTGGTCTCTGTTTTGCAAGTGCTGGCAGGACAAGAGAGAAACTTTTTAAAGGCCGTGGCTCAGTTTATGAGAATAAATGTAAAACATACAAGAAAGATATAAAAAGGGATCTGGATTTTTCCTGCTGTTCTGCAGAGAAAGGCCACAAACACCATTCTCATGGTCTGACTCTGCTACTGCCTCAAGCCTTACACCAGTAACACATCAGAAATCCCCACATTTTTAACTTTCATGTTAATTCTTCTCAGAAATAAAATGAAGAACCCTCCACCATTTTTGTCAGTGGACCCCAGGGTTCTACATGAAGACCTGAAAAGATACCTAATATCTGAGACCTCTGAAACATTGCATTGAGCTACCAGGCATTAAAGAGGACATGTAGGAGATTTGAACCCATCTCTAGCAACTGTTGGGGTAGCCCAGCTTATTTCTGATGACACAAAAATAGCTGTGCAAGCAGCTGAATTGTGCTACTAGGTCAGATTCTGCAGATTAATGCCTAAAACAGCTCAGTGGTGCTGGGCCTTTGGGCTCAGTTCTGCAGGGGCCTTTGCCTCCTCAGCAGTAAGATGAAGGGCTGCTGCTGCTGAGCTTTCTGGTGCTGTTTCAAACAAGCTCATCCCTTCCTAAACAAGTGTTCCTTCCAGCATCCCCCTGGTTAATAAGTTGGAACTCATTCTACCCCATATTCCTGGAGTTAATTAGTGAGACACTGACACAGATCACGCAGAGATCCCATCCCTGGAAGTGTCCAAGGCCAGGTTGGATGGGGCTTGGAGCAACCTGGGCTAGTGGAAAGTGTCTCTGCCCATGGCAGGGGGTTGGAACTGGGTGATCTTCAAGATCCCTTTCAATCCAAACCATTTTACGATTCTAAGATTAAAACAAGAATGTGAAGCACTAAAAACCACTACAATTTTTCATATCTGGACTAATTAAATTCTCAATTAGCCCAGTATCCCCACAGAGGAGTATGAAAAATTACTTTGGTATAAGTCACCTGATGTCAGTTCATCCTCCTGATAGTCTGGTGTTGCTGCATTGCTGATGCAGCATCTTTGTGTAATTGTCAATAACTTGTTGAGGATTTCCACCCACTGTCCTGATTATTATGCATGATGGGACTTATTTATTTACGTCAGCAGGAACAACTCGAGACTTTATAATCAAAGTTTTGCCATGTAAACAAAGGAAAAGGGTGACTGAGACTGCACAGAGCAGCAATAATATTTAGATCAGTCCCATCATGGAAGACCTGGACCACAAAGATGAATTACCTAATCCTTCCTGACTCTGGACTCTCAAACTGACCAAAAATATTTGAATTAACTAATTTGTCTCCTCAAGTGAGTCATTCTATACATTTCTCACCTACAGTTTTTTAAAGATGTGATTTAATTTCCTCAAACAGGCCAAAGAGAAACAATATTGAAACAAAATGCAGCAAAGTTTGCTGAGAAAGTTTTCCCAGAGTAAATTACCGTAAAGCAGAAATTAATCTGGCCCACAGTTAACATCTACTATTTGTTAAGCATTTTAAGACCATTCACATTAAATCAGTGTGATTTAAACCTTGGTTAAATAATTTTGAGGAAGAGCAAGCATCTTGTTTTTCATTATGACACTCTCACTTAGGAGCCTTCAGGCTCCTATGTAAATAAACTTCTTCATCAACTGCTCCAGACTGTCTGTGTTCTTGCCTTTACCTTTCAGAAGACACTGATGGTAAATAACAGATAATTTGAATTTCTCTTTTCTTAAGGGATAAACTGCCTTCTGTTTACATCCCAGTCCTGTGCCCAAGAACATAAACAACTACCACAGAGCAGATGACATGCAGGATATTGCTGGTGGGTCAAACCCCTGGAATATCAATAAATGCAGGACCCAGATCTTCAAAGGGACTTGACTCCTACTGACAGAATTTGATTCTGGGGACCTGGGACATTGTTGCAAATTGATGTTCCACACCCACGTTCATAAGTCACAAGTAAAAATTTGATTGAAGGTCCTGTAAGACATAACTCTGTTGAAAATGTTGCCACTCAGAAGCACGACTTATCTCAGCTAAACAGCCTTTAAAAATGATCACACTCTGGCTCCATGCCTGGAACCAAAATGAAAGGCAATCTCTTGGCCTGGGAAGAACCAGACAAGCCTCAGAAGGGTAATTTTCAGCCATTTTCATCCTCTGTGTAAAGAGAAGATAAGGGAAAGACAGGAATCAGGACTAATAACAGCCTGTTCTTTACTGAAGCTTCTAATCTTGCTGTTAAGTAAATTAATTTTTATATAGAGGGATATAGAAGAAAGGCATTAATGTTTAATTACACCTAATGCTTTGCTGCTCAGAGCAATACCAAAGCAGATGTTTGTGTTGATGTCTGTGGTTTTAGTTGTACACATCTCAGACAGGAGTGTCTGTAATAAACATGTAAGGGAGATGTTTTCCTGTTAGAAAAAGAAGAAGAACTGGGCTTATTGGGGTAGATTTGCAGTGCTTGAGATCACCTGAGTGTACATGATCGTCCCTAGCAAAAGCTGTGTAAGGATTTGTCTACAAGGACAGGCTAAACCTGCCCTCAGAGATCCCCTCTATCCATCTCACAGCACTGCCCTTCCATTACTCAACTGTTTTTCCTCTCTTGGATCTCATCTGCCAACGTGCTGATTTGACCCAAAAGAAATTTCTCCAAGACCAGGAGCTAATTTGGTTGATCTGAGCTATAAAGCAACGTGAGGCAATTGTAAAAGTGAGGGGGGAGTAGGTGCACAAGGTTTTATTGCCTCCTCTCCTTAAATCCAGGCAAGCTATGGGGAGCTGCACTGGTGCTGTTGCTTCCCTCTCTCCAGAGTCTCGCTGTGACTCCTTGTGCCACAGACCCAGAGGCTCCTGTCAGTTCAGTCTTCCTCTTCCTTCTTAGAGGAGCATTTCAGATGTCCTTGGCCTTCCTAAATTTTTGGGCTTCAACTTGTTAACTCAGCCCAATGGCAAAAACTTCCCCCCCTTCCCAGGCTGTGACCTCCATCAGTGTGCCATGGGGTGTCCATGATGGATCAGAGGGAGCACAAAGCTGTCCTTTGCTTTTCCTGTCACCCTGGCGGAACAGCCACCAGATCTGTGGCACATAGAAGGCCTTCTGGTAAACAGTCCTTTAGGAGCACCTTGGGAAGTGATCTGCCCACGTGGTGGTAAATCCAGGTTAATTTTTCTATTCCTGATCTTCTTTGCCACTTTGTCTATCACCTTGCACTTGGCAGATACAGCCAGTTACCCTGCAGTGGTTATACATGAGTACTCCACTACCAAAATGGGGGAGAAGGAGCAGTGGACAATGCTTTTTCCCCATTGCTGGGACTGGAAATCGTGGGAAAATTGCTCCTGGGACATCATTTACCTGACATGAGAACTACAGTAAATAAAGAGTAATTCTGGCAGAGGAACTGGGATAAAATGGCATGGATTAATGAGTTAGTCTGGGAAGGAGCAGACTATCTGCAGCAAGGATGAGCAGGGCTTTGAGGTTACTCCTCTTACCTGTGATTTCCAGGTGTAGGCTGCCTGTTCTGGCTTTATCCCACCACAGCACGGGCTCTGGCATGGAGAAAGATTTGCCACAGGCATATGAGTGACACCAGAGAGCACAGTCCCATCACTGGGACATCTGGATTGGGATAGGAGTCCAGAGGAGCCCTTGCTTACCCTTCCTGGGGCCAGGCTAGGAGCTGCCTCACCGAGGGGGAATTCTAGGAGACCTGAGAATATGCCAAAAGACATGCAGCAAACGTCCCTGGACACACAGATCCATGACCAGCTCCTGATTCTGCAGTTTGGGAAGCCCAGGAGAACAAATTCGACGCCCTGCTTCCTCAGAGATGCCTATATTTAGTCAGATGAATTCCTGTTTAAGAGCAGAGAGTTTTCACTGGCTGAGCCAGAGGCAAAACAGATGCTCAGCCCAGCCAGGAGGCCATTACACTGTGATTATTATTACTCCATGCTTAATTTCCAGCTCTCTGGTGCTTGTCAGTGATGGATGCTGTGACAAAAAAAGCCCTCAATTCTGCAGATAACTGAAAACATACGGGGATGTAATTCTCTTCCTTTATTTTAGTAAATCTCCATTGTTCAGGTAAACCATCTGGCGATTATCACATATCCACACTCAGGCCCTGGAGGCCTCAGTCCAAGTTAGGATAATCCACTGCTGAGCTGATAATGAGGGGTGACGTGATAAAATTAATTTTATTTTTTTTATAGTTAGAAGTATTAAAAAGCCATTCAGTGAAATGAAGTTGTTGTTATCACAAATAAATTACAGTTCAGCGGGAAAGAATTCCATTGAAAACTGATTGGCTGTAAAATTAATAATGTTTTGGGCAACGTGCCTGCTCTTGGCACTTGAGAGAAGTGTCAGCCTGTGGCAGTGATCACACCAGTCCCAGATAGCTGTCCACATCCCACCTTCTAGGAATCATGTGTTAAATCTTGCTCCTGGGTGTCTGGCATGAATTCCCAAATATTGTGGAAGAAATGTGCTCTCTGGGCAGAGCTCCACAGGGGACATTTGCTCGTGTGAAAGGCTGGCAAAACGCCCATGTTCATCTTCCATTCTCCAAACAGGGAGAAGTAAACCCTACTAAAGGTATTTCCACTTCAACTCTTTCCATTTTGGTGTGTCATATAGGCAGGAGGAGAGGGGTATTTTGATTACCCAAAGGTGATTTTTAGCTTGAGAGTCTGGAGTGCTGTCTCTGAAACAGCGGCAGTGGCCGCATCTCCCTTGTGCCATGTGCCCTCATATAAACAATTACAACAGCAAATAAGAGTCAGGACAGCTTTTTTTTCACATGGGGAACTGGGGGAAGCTATCCCAGATCCTGTCTGTTAGTATAGGATGAGCCTTCATCCAAGGAATACCCAGTTTCCTTACACAGACCCCAGTCTCCTTGGACTCCAGTGAGGTGATGAAAGTGTGTTGTGTGTGCTCGGGGATTTTTCCCTCCTGTTCCATCAACGAGGGCACGTTTACGACAGCGTGAGCAGGATTTTTGCATGAAAACTTCTTTTAATCATGAATTCCCATTTCTCAGCACTGAGGATGGCTGTGGGGTCAGGAGGGGATGGACACAACCAATATCCTGTCCCGGCTTCAACATCAGTAACTTCTCTCCAAAGTTTGGTTGCTTCCAGTCTCTCTATCTGTCAGCTTTGTCTTCCTGCCCATCCCATTAAGCAGAACTGATTTCCACAATAACTCCCCAATGGAATTCCAGAAAATGCTGTTCCTAATTCAGATTTCATGGTTACAGCAGATAAATACCGTGGTTATACTACCATTAAAATCATGTGGAGAAGGAATGTGTTCAAACAAAATCCTTTGTAACACATGTAGCTGTGTCAGCTGATTCTCTTTCAGCAAATATGGAGTCATAAAAATGCCATTGAAGGTTGTATATATATATTCAAGGAAGAAACAGTAAGTACCCTCTGAGATCACAAATCATCTCCCCCACAATAAAACTCATATCCGTAGTTATCACTCATTTTTAAAGTTGTCCAAATCTAAAACTAACTTGAAGTTATTGCTTGTTTCTTCCAGTCTCAGAACCAACTGCAAGAGATTTATCCACTTTCAAAATGTCTCTGCAAAGTGCCAGCATCAAAAAGCAATTAAACTGGAGCTCAGTGAGGGATGATGAAATAAAAATTAATTAGAAAAGGTACATTCCAAAAAAAAAAAATAGAGTTTTCTGGCAGAAATACATCTGTCTTTAAATTCAGATGTGATGCAGTGATAGAGATGAACTGTTTGAATCCACTTGTGATACTCTGATGAGAATATCACAGTGGGAGACAGTAACATGGTAGTTGATCATGAAGAGTGGAAAGTCCATCTCCTTAACCTGCCACTTCAGCTTCTGTGGGGTACCAGCTCTAAACTACCCCTTGGGGGAACTCCTCTTCCTTCACTGGCACATGAAGGAATTCTGGAGAGAGGAGTCTTGGGCCTTACCCATCAAATACCAAACACAGAGTGGAGCAGGGATTTAGCCTGGTGAAAGTGGTGCAGCAATGTGCATTCCAAGGGCAGAGGTTGCAGTGGTGTTGAGGCACAAGTTTTTGGAATCCCTGTTTCATTTCGGAGAAAAACAATTTTACTCTTCAAATCTGAATGGAGATTAAAAAAATGAATGATGGAGCAGGCATAATGGTTCCAAGAAAACCCTACTCATGGGACATTTCTCGTTCACAGGTTTCAAGTGTGGATCTGGGATTGTAGAGGGGCATCCAGGGCAGAGCTCCCAGGAGAGGACTCTGAGTCTCTGAGTCCTTTCCTGGCCCTTTATCCACTGAGGTGGATCTACCTCATCAACACCATGACACTAAATGAGACAGGGTCAAGCTTCCAACTCTGTTCCCTACTACTTCTTTTAGTATTCCAGGTTATCCTGTAAATCCAGTTTATAGACAGGATTTGCAGCAAGATCTGGAGCTGATGTGCATCTTCTCAACTTTCAGAAGGTCACAGCCTCCTGTGGCTTCAGTTGTGTACAAGAAAACCAAAAATGACCAGGCTTTCCCAATACTTTATGAATATGTCTCCTCAAGCTGCTGTGGTGTGTGGTGACTGTGCATATGCTGCACATTTTTAAGCTGTTGATGCCATTGCACAAAACCCAAACCAGAATATTTTAGGTTCTGACAGTGTGGGCAATGTGTATTTTCTCAGATTGCTGATTTTGGGTCCAACCTCCTCAGCAGGCACCTCTTGTCTTGAAAAGGTAATCAGTGTGAAGTTATGAGAGCATGAGAGGGAAGACAGCATGTGGCATCACCTTGAAGGATTTAGACTGGATTATATCCCTAAGGACACTGTTGTTTTCTCGGTGTCATTTCAGGCTCACCATAATTGCAGATTCAGGCAGCTCTGAAGGAGACTGGAGCGAGGATCTGCCTCTGGATGGGCGTGCATCTGCATGGCAATGGAAAATTACCTCAGCAAAACGTGTTGTCACAGAGCAGCAGGGTGTTGATGTCAAAATAGAGCTGATTGCTGTCCCAGCTCACTTAGATCAGCAGTGTGCTCGCCTCCCTCACGGAGTTTTCCTTCTCCTGTGCCACTGCCAAGGCAAGGGAATGAATTTTTCCAACATCCTTATGGCTGCAGTGGGACCTGGAGTGTCACACACCAGTGATGTAGGTGGAAAAGTGTCTGTCAAGGCTGACATCACACATTGTTTTTATATCGTGCCCAACAAACACAGCTTATTCCCTGCTCCGTGTGAAACCCCCAGCCCTGATCCTCCCAGGAGGCAGCTGTTCCAGCGGGACTGGAGGGATTCACGCACGGAGAAATCCTTTGGGACCATTTAACACCCGAGTGGTGAAAATGGCTCTGCCTGCTCTCTCTGTTCCAGTGCTGTAACAGTTTATTTTCCATGTGTTACCTGGTCCCTGGAGTCTTACACATTTATAGCCAGAGGCAAGACAGGCTGTTGGCAGAGCCAGGGAATGAAATTCCATAGGCTGCTGGGCTTTCAGCAGCGTGCTTGGATTGCTCATTTGTAAAGGCTGGTGCTAATGCCAGGCAGATCTGGATCTATTTGTGTGCTTCCCTGAAGTCAGCAGCTGGTGTATCATCCCTTGCTCAACCCCTCATTTTGCACAAACCCCAGAGAGACCCCACATCCCCCAAATCCTCTCTGTTCTGCTCACATCTTTTGGAGCTCTTTGCTCCTTTCCCTCTTGGATTTATCAGCTATGTGGTCTCTCAAATCTAGGGCTCTGGCCACTGCCTCATGCCTCCATCCAGATACTCCTTGGCTCACCCTTCAGCTTATGGGTTTGTAGCATATGTGTTTTCTGCACACTCCCATTCATATTTGGAGGTTTTCCCCCTACCTTATCCTTAATATAAAAGTCACTAGTGATTCCAGGGCCTCAACTCCAGCCCATAAAGTAATCTGGAGACTTCAGACTGCTGGCTCTGAAGTTGTGTTGGTTCAGTTCCCTTCCCATGAGAAATCTTGGCACATTTGTGAGAGAACTTTGGGACATGTATCTGCACACATATATATTGTATATAATGTGTAAATTTTTCATCTCACATGAGCTGGCATGGGGGGAGAATAGGGAGGCTCCAGAGTTGTTGGATTATCATGAAGCAGAGGCATAACGAGACAGGTGTTAGCACCCACATTCAAGTCCTCTAAAATCAGCAGAATTGCAAAAATTATATTAAATCACCCTGTTTATTCCCATATTCAGAACTACAGTTGTAGAGGAAAGGACCAAACTGTGACAGGAGCGGCGCTGTAGTCAGATGTGCTGTCCTGGTTTCCTGACCCATGCACAGCACATCTTGGGTTTGGCTATCCTTGGTTTGCTCTGTGTCTGCAGACTGGCTGGAAGTGGTAAAGTGGGCAAGGAGTGAGGAATATTTGTTGTGACCAGCTGCAAACCATGCAGAAGGAGGAAACACTGAAAAAAAAAATATGCCTGGTGTTATGAGCTGGATGGACACACCCCTGGGGTTCCTCTCTGGAAACCCCAGCAAGCAGGTCAGTGTTGGGTCTACTGGAAATTTAGGTAAAATCTCTCAGTGTCTGGCTTAGACCTGTGTATCTTGTTGCTGTTTGCACCTAAACTGCATCCACACGTGCTGGGAGGATCCAGGGTCATTGGTAGAGATGCTTTACATGAGCTGAGCCATTCTTATTGACATGCCATTAATCACAGAAT